CATAGTCTTATAAATAACTTGTCCTACTGCAAATGCAGACACAAGTTCCCATTTTCAAGCTTAAAATATCTATGTCCATTGCTGACAGGTATGCCATGTTTGAACTACTACAAAGAGTAACAAACATAATCAGTGATTCCTGAATCAATAATTCATTCACTGATCAGGCCTAGATATGCCCATGTCTGGTTCTTTTCATCACCTCTGGGAAAATTTTCTTTCAGTATCCCTTCAGTCTGCACTTGAAGAACTTGCCTTGTGGCTTCTTCATAGCAATTGGTTTGACAACTAATAACCAAGTCATTTTATTCTTGTTACCACCCTTGGGTTTCCCTTTGGATTTAACAAGACTCTTAACAAAACCTGCACCGACTGCATTCTGTCTAGCAGAGCTGCTAGACGTAGCAAACATGTCATTAAGAGTCTGAAGCATTTCTACTCCATTCTTAATCATGTACACTTGCTTCTGCAAGGAGTTGGAAAGACTGTCAATAATATAGCAGCGAACTACCATATCTGCCCTTTCCTAATCTGAGAAATGCATCTTAGTTTCCTAAGACGCATCCTCTGCAGGTTGCTATGGCCCTCGCATTGTCAGAACAAATTTTAGCTTCCATGTTTTAGAACAATATCAAAAATTTGCTTTTCACTTATTCATAGTTGGTACCATCTAGAGGTTTTCGACTCAAAATCATTTCTAAGATATTTTCTAAAAAACATATAAAGCACACAATTACAAACAAATAATGCAATAAACAAATGAAGTGCGAGTAGATTCTCATAACTACTCTTGTTTATTGTTAACAATCCTTCAGTTTATCTTTACAAGGCTTACGATGGGCAAGTCACTTGTAAAAATCAAAATTGTTATTTGGGCCTTCAGTGCCATTGCCAGAGCCTCGATGGGAGGGTTAACAATTTTACCAAAGTTGAATGTAATTAACCATTGTTTAATTTCAAAATTATCCTTAGTATCTAAGCATTGCCGACGATGGGCCGTACAATACTTTACTAAAATTTTGAAATTATTAAGATTTAATCTAGTGAAATCTGATTATCCTTATCCGATGGGGCTTCAGCGATAACCATTTCACTAATAAACCCACAAATGGAGCCCGCAGGTTTTAAAATTAATTAATTTTTAAAACCTTCACCCATTCAATATTTTTGTTTGGGAATTTTCGTAAGCCCTGTCGAATTCATTGTTTAATTTCAGAATTATCTTTAATAACTTAGTATTATCGACGATGGGTCGTACAATACTTTATTAAAATTTTGAAATTATTAAGGCCCAATAAAATTCAATCATGCTAATCCGTTGGGGCCTCACATGATTATTTTATTGATAGGCCCACAATGCGCCTGGAGGTTAAATTAATTTCTTAATTTAAATCTCCTCCCATAATTATTTAGGTCCAATCTAGTAAAATCCAATCATGCTTATTCGATGAGACTTCACATGATTATTTTATCAATGGTCCTTAAAATGCGCTTGAAGGTTAAATTAATTTCTTAATTTAAATCTCCTTCCATTCAACATAAGCAATATTTTCCAATTTCCAAGAATTATTTAATTGAGAGTATCCTTTGTTCGATTTCAAAAACTATATAAGTAAGAGCGCCGATAAACGTGCACTAAGCTTAACATAATTTTGAAAGCATTAAGGTCCTGAAATCCGGTCACTTTACGTCAGCGTGTGCTCCAAACAATCATGATACATGAAGGTTGTATGCAGCGTGTGTTATTCCATGACCATTTCAGAAAACCCACAAATTACTCGCAAAATAAAAGAATTCTCTTAGGAAATTTTCTCTAATTATTTTTCTAGATTTAAATCATCCAAATAGTTGACTTAATTATTAATCTAGATTGCAACAATCATAATAATTATCATTTATGAGGATAATTTGAAATCAAAATAATTTCTATAACGATTATTTGTCTTGATGTTAATTATCCAAAATTAATTAATTCAATTATTAATCTAGATTTTCAATAAAAATCATAATAATTATTAATTAATTTCTTAGGATGATTTAAAATCAAAATAATCCCATAATAACTATCATACTAGTACATAATAGCTATTATGCTCATGCAATCATACAAGTTATGCAACAATATGGCACCACCTATTCTATATGGCATGTTATCGCAATAAAGCATGTTATCAATCATATAATTTATACCAATCAATAAAAGCATTAAATAATAAATCATAATTACTTTAATCCATGGCCTTCCTATTTTAAAGAAAATAAAATAAAATAAAATAATACAACTTTGGAATTCGACTTTCGCCTAGCCCATAGTATCTGTCTCAAGCCCCTTTAGGGTTTCATGGGCCCAAAAGCCCAAAGACCCAATCCTTTGGCGAGAAACCCTAGGACGCGAAAGAGAAACCCTAGCCGTCAGGTCTGCCGCGCCGTCACCCGAAGTCAAATCAGGCTGAAACTCCAAGGGAAGGACCGCCACGTAGAGACGAGTGTACCGCCGCCGGAACCACCCAAAAAGGTGGTCGGACGCTCCTTCACTCTCTCTTTCTTTGCCGGAGAGTGGCGGCCACTCTCAGCCGATTGTGGAGGCGCGTGGGGGCGCGTTAAGGCTCTGATGTCGGCGATCCACCCATAGTTGCGTTCGTATTTCCGTTCTCTTTCCAACCATATATAGATCGCCCTATTCTGAGATCGGGAAGTACTCGAAAAGTCTCTGACAGTGCTGACTGCGCATCTTCCTCATGATTTCTCGATCTTGAACTTTTACAAAATATTGAAAAAATACACAGAAATTCCAGAAATAAACAAAAACAGCAAGGAGGAAACCTAATCATATGGGATTAGCCTCCTTGTTACAAATCGAGAAATACACGAGAGACCTTAACCATGGATTAAAGCATTTTTACCGATTAAAATTTAATCTTTTATGAAAATGAATTATAAAATACACATGCTAGATTCATACCATAATCCTAGAACCCTAGGTGCCACATTTCAAGAAGCAAAACTAATTACATGAATAGTGAAACTAGATTCACATACCAATGTACAACCAAGGCTCTGATACCAATTGAAGGAAATCTTAGATTTATGCGGAAGCGGTTTAGGACCTAGTACATTGGTATGCTTACCGAATCATCCTTGTTTCACAATTACCTCTCGGTGCGCAGGTCTCGTGTAGAATCTTCCCTTGTAGGATTCCTCTTCACGAATAGCTCACCTCAGTGCCGCAGCACGAACAACCTCCTTGAAGCTGGACTGTGGCAGATCTTCCAAACTATCTCTCGAGGAGGAAGGGGAAGTGTGTGGGCACTGATTAGATTATGAGCTTGCCTCTTTCTCACAAAGAAGACCTTAGAGGCTGATGACTTAAGAGGTACTATTTATATGGGTTCCAAGAAACCCTAGCTCATTGGGCTCTAGGTTCCTTGGGCTCTTCTCATACTAATAACCCATTTGGGCTTTAGTAAAAGAGCAAACCCAACAACGTCAGCAAACCGAGTTCGCTACACCGGGTAGCGAACTTGCCCCATGGCAGATTGGAAAATAACACTATTCACGTGGCATTTAAGTAAAAAAGTTGATGAACGGTGACATTTTAATCACTGTTCCCAAATATGGGTTGGTATTAGTGTCTTTCATCATTGACGATGACAATATATATACCGTTTGCCCCAGAACTTGTTAAAGGGTTAGTGCACAGACCGGAGGGTGGTGGATTATTATGATCCAATTACAAAGAATCAAACTTGAGTTCTCCATTGAAATTATGTGAGCCTGATGTGGGATTTATATGATTTTTTGGTTTCCCATCACAATTGTTAGTTTTTCTAGTATGGTTATTGAAGAATTTATGCGAAGCTGAAAATTGTTTATGCAAGATTGTAGCGTTGCTATTTTTGGGAGTTTGGGGATGATGGGTGAATAAAATGTAACATAGATGATTATGTGCATTTTAATAATTAATATGTGAAAAACTATTTTTTAAAAGGGAAAGTTATAACCACAATTTTTTCTTACTATCTCTTATAACTAATTTTATTATCGTTATATCAAAATTAAATCAGTGGTTACAAAATGGCATGAAGTGAGTTATTGATTTGATTTTGATTCAACGATAACAAGATTGATCGTAAGAGGTGGTGAGGAAAAAATAAAAGGTGATAGGTATAACCTATTCCTTTTAAAAATAAGTGTAATTTTGAAATGATTCATACAATTATATATATATTAACTGTTAATTTGAATCTTGGGAGTGTCTAATTATGATTTTTTTAGATTAAGAATCATTTAAGATTATAAAAAGAAAATCTTATTGACTCCTGTTAAGAGACTAGCAGAAATTGATGGAGAGACTGCTTTTTCTGAGATGATTAGAATTATTTATATTACTAAATTAGTAAATATGGAGTTTTTGTTTACAAAAAAAAAATATGGAGTTTTTTTCTTATGAAAACGTCAAAAATAGAAACTTCCATAAACACGGAATTGATATTGCAGTAGTTAAAATACGTTTTTTTGTATATGGTTTGTTGCATTATTTGGAATTTTCTTTTGCGAAGGAAATTTCTGCGGAAAAAGTCGTTCCATACACGTCTTCCGCGAAAATGATATATGCATCTTCCTAAGAAAAGAAAAATTATGTTGCAGTGGAATTATGTTTGTTTAACAGAAGAAAATAAATCTATTTTTAACACATAAAAAGGTCATTTCACTTGTGACTTGTGAGCTTAAATATCGCTATACCTAAATTTTACCAACTTATGAAGTTACCTAAATTTAGAGAGACATATCAGTATAAAACATTAAGATTTTGTTTCATAACACTTCTGTTTGAAATAATTGTGACTAGGAAATATCATAATTCCGTGGTTAGTTAGGTAAGTAAAATGAATGAGTGGTACTTTGAGTGAATGTTTTTGTTTCATAAATGCATTGAGTGAGAAGGAGACAGAATAATCAATTGCCGGCGCAATTGAAAGACAACAACATAGTAGTCTCAATGTTGTGTGCACAAGAAGGAAGGGCACGTGGACACAAAAATAAGTGTTTGAAGGAAAGAGGACATTTGTCCAAACCAAACCACTGTGATTTTCTTGGACCAAATTCTCAACCGCCTGGACTACTTGCCAACCTCATCTCCTTGTCTTGTTTTTTTCTTTCTTTCTTTCTTCCAAAGCTTCTATCATTGGTTTCTCTCTAATCTTCTTGTTGTTTATGAGTTTTGACCCTTTTTGTGAAAGGGAAAGATTATCATAGTGGAATGATTCTGGCACAGTTTGGAAGTTGAAAAAGAAAACATGGGTTCTGCTTCAAAAGTTGGGAATAGCAACTATGATTACTCTTTTAAGGTTTTGTTGATTGGTGATTCTGGTGTTGGCAAGAGTAGTCTTCTCCTCAGCTTCATCTCCAACTCTAATTCTGTTCATGACCTCTCCCCCACAATTGGTACCTTTTTTTTTTTTTTTTTATTAGTTTCTATATATTCTCAGTTGTGATTGGGAAGAATCTGTTATTTCTGAGTTCAGTTTTAGATTTTTGAATTGGGGTACCTTCTCTTTCTTGCTTGGGAGAATGGAACATATTTGCTGGATTTGATACCAGACTTTATGGCTACGTTTATGTTTGCTTGCAAATTCAACACCCTTATTGAGGGTTTCTTTGTTGAAAAGTTTTTATTTGGCGTTTGAAGTGGACAATTGAAGTGTTTCAAAGAGTCATGCATTCTTGTTGAAAATACCTACCAAGTCAGCTTTCTTTAAATTTCTAGTTATACTATGAACTTTTTGTTCTTTTACATATTTTATTCCAATATGTGGTTCCATTTTTTTCTCGGTTGAAATCTGTATCTGCTTGTTCAAACTTATGCCAATCTCGATTCTATGGATTTGGTTTGACTTAATTAAGCTGGACGCAATTTCAATGCTATGTTAAATTGTTAAATTCAATACTATTTGGAAAAGAGAATCTCTAACATGGTCAAATTAGAATTGAAGTTGGACATGTTCCTGCCTTAGATGGTTTGGTTTGGTTTGGTTTGTTTTCTGTTTTCTGTTTCCATTTAGATGATATATTCTGATTAATAATTACAAACATGCCGCCATATTTTTATTATGTTTTCAAGATTCTCTTCATAAAATCTTTAAAACAAGTAGCAAAGTGAAAACTATGCGATATATTTGTAATTATTAATAAAAAGATATCAACTGAAAATGAAAACAGTAAACAAACCAAAACATCCGTTTACCATTTTTTTGTGTTCAATGATATATTCATTGAAATTTGCCAACTCATCCCATTTTTTATTTTTTTTTGAGGAATTTTATTGTTTACATTATCAGTATCTTTTCTGAAACTTTAATCAATTGATCCATTACATACTTCTAAACGGTGTGCTTGTCTAATGAGGTGATATCTATGCCTTGGACATTCTTTGTTCATAGTTTTACATTTGTTTCTTACATTAGGCTGGTAATAGTTTATTAGAATTTAGTGGCATTTGGCTTTTAAGTTTTTATTACTGAGGAATTTTTGCACTGTAATTTTCTCTGTTATTATTTTTGTTAAATACCCATATGCTGGTATTCATAAATCATTTTGCAGGTGTAGATTTCAAAATCAAGCTTTTTACAATTGGTGGTAAAAGATTGAAGCTTACTATTTGGGACACAGGTAACTGTTTTTCTAGTTAAATTTAGTGATGGGAAATTTTAATTTTTTAGTCTGAACGTACACATTTTAAAGGCTATAGCTTGGATATGGTAACGTGAAACTTGCAGATTGAATTCCGTTTATATGAAACCTTGAAGTGGTAATTTGTTACAGTTAGTTTATAATGTTTAGTTTATTATTTTGCAGCTGGGCAAGAAAGGTTTGGGACAGTAATAAGCTCGTATTACAGAGGTGCACATGGAATCATTCTTGGTATGCTATATATATATATATTAGAGAATTGAATTTATTTTTTTTTATATATGCTTAGATTTATGATATTTAAATATGTATTTTAACGGACGTTATTTTTGCAATCTATTGCAGATGTTTTAACGGAAGATGATTTTTCCACCATTTTAAATTTTATATGTAATCATTTATATTAGTATTGATGTTTATGCTTTGCTATTTATTTGTCGTATATTAAATTTGAAATACACACCTACTTACAGGTTATTTTTAAAGAAAATAATGAAAAATTAGCCTTGAATATAAAATTATGGTCAACACTTCCTTAATTCATCAGACTTTCGTTTTAGTGGTTTTCTATACTCTTTCAACAATTGCTGAGTTCCTGAGAGGAGTGAACGTACTTGCATCAATGTGGTGCTCACTCTATGCTTTTCAGTATTGACTGTAGTGTTGTTGACATCTAATAGATTTTTTTCTTATATTTTCGTATTTAGTCTATGATGTGACACGACGTGAGACATTTACAAACCTGGTGGATGTATGGGCAAAAGAAGTTGAGCTTTACTCCACTAATCATGATTGCATCAAAATTCTAGTTGGCAATAAGGTGGATAAGGTAAATTTTATGGTGAAATAGTATCCTTTTGTTACTCAGGAAGAGATAGAAAATTACATAGATTATGCTATTTTTTTTTCCCTCATACTAACTTTTTCTCAAGTAATAATTTGTTTTGGAATCAGAATATAACTTCAATTTGTTCCTTAATATTATTTTCTTGCATTTTTTTATTTTTTATTTTATTTTTTGTGGATTTTGAAGAGTGCCAGTTGTATTACTTTTTCAGGAGAGTGAAAGAGCTGTAACCAAAGAAGAGGGTATGGCTCTTGCACAGGAACATAGATGCTTGTTCCTAGAGTGCAGTGCCAAAACTAGAGAAAATGTTCACCAGTGCTTTAATGATCTCACATTAAAGGTATATATGATTTTATTACATGTGTGGTGGTATAGTTCCTTTGTTGTACTCTGCTTTAGCAGTAATCCATTTGTGATGTTGTGGGTATAATAAAGGCTTGTTCGCTTCTCCTCATTTATATAAAATTAAAATAATTTACAATCCTCAGCTTCTGGTGTTATTTTTAGAGCATGTAATCTGTAAAAATTTTATTTTCTTTAAGCCATGCTAGAAAGATCATGGTATAGGGTCATACTTGGTATCATCTACACTATAATTGGAAGGTTTGGCTAATTGAGTTGAAGATACACTTCTAAATCATATTTTGCATGCACATAGGATTAGGACTGAATTTCTATTAATTTTTTTTCCTTGTTAATGAAAGTTCAAGAATGTGAAATTTTTTCCATATACACAAAATTCCGCTAGTCATTAATCTATTGAAATAATAATCTAATTTTTAAATAAATTCAAAACCCTCCAAATCATTTAAGATCCCAACCTTGGTCTATCCAAATATTATAGCTTAAAAATAAGAGTTTAGTGTGTGTCCTTTTAAAGGATGTAAGTTGTGTCCTTTTAGTGACTTACACAAAGTCTGACCGGTCATACTTTGTGTAAATATGAAAAGTTGATTTTTTTTTTCACTTTACACGTCAGCGATGTGGCTGAGGAGAGAGGAAAAAAGTAACTTTTCAAATTTATAAAAAGTATGACCGGTCATATTTTGTGTAAATCACTTAAAACGACAAGTTTGTGTACTTTATAATGATACTTCTTTTTCCCTAAAAATAAAGGTATAATTGTCATTTCATAGTTATAATTTTATTAGAAATAGAGATCTAAGTCAGTGTTATGTAACATTACCATTCAGAGTCTTAACAGTGAAGAAATATGTAACATTTTGTTGCTTCTCTATCTCACTCTTTTGCTCTTCAGCAGCTAAATTATGTTGTTGTTCCATTTAACATTGATTTACAGATATTAGATTTGCCAAGTTTACGGGAAAAGGGGTCTGTGGTAGTGAAGAGACAAAAGCAAAGGCGCATATATGAGACACCTCAAAGCGGTGGTTGCTGTTCTTAATAAATATGGTCCAACATGAATGTGCAAAGATTTTACAACTGGGATACTACAGTTACTAGCTGGTCTTTGTATCATGTCAAGGGTCACAAGCAGATTGTTTGGATGATCATATGCTCCAATATTATTTTTTCAGCCTATTTTCATAACTTACACAAGAAGATGCTTGAGATGGATATTGCCTTCTCAATATCTTTTGAAGCCACAGTATAACTCTGTTTATGATAGTCAAGATGATCACAAAGTTCTTTAATATATTACGCTTTTTCTTACTTTTATTATAGTTTTGGAAACACCTACCGTCTTGTACAGCTTATGTAAATATGTTAGGGTTGGTTAAGTTAGGATATACAGCAAAATTACATGTACTATTTTTGGTTTTTCTTTTTTGAAACCCCCCCACCCAACATTGGATAAGAAAGGATTTTGTATTTCATATTACATGTCTGTATTTTCTATTTTTTCAAACCTCAAGATGTATGGGCACTGGAAATTCATTTTACAGCTTGGTCTATTAAAAATTTCTACTCAATTATGATAAAGCTTTTTTTGGTCAAGTAAAAATTGTCACCGTGTTGATTTGGGGTAGTGAATTCAGAAAAATTATAATGAGGAAGCAAGAATATTCATTTACTGCACAAATTCTTGTGTTGTTATAAATATGGGGGTTATAAGAGATATAACAGCTGCGTAAATTCTTGTGTTGTGAAATTTCTGATTTTATAAGAACTACCTTAGCAATTTACCAAAAACCGAAAGAGAATTATCTTTGCAAAGTGATTTTGCGACGGGAAAATGGCATCTTTGTTGAGAAATATAGTCACACATTGGTTATATGAGCAACTAATATGAAGTTTATAAGGCCTTGGGCACTCCCACCCTTTGAGCTAGCTTTTGGGGTGGTGACCTCAAGGTTCTTAACATGGATGGTATCAGAGCCATTCGAATTCTCACCGCCTCCCACTTTCTTTGTAGTGGAATTTCCACATGTAGGTGAACTTGTATGTTGTTCACCCTTCAAGCCCAGTGGGCTCTCGTGTGAGGGGGCGTGTTGAGAAATATAGTCCCACATTGATTGTATGGGCAACTAATATGAGGTTTATAAGGCCTTGGACACTCCCACCCTTTGAGCTAGCTTTTGGGGTGGTGACCTCAAGGTTCTTAACAATCTTAGCTAAAGAAATAGAATCATGATATTTCCCTTCACCTTTGTGAACAAATAGCATGATTGCTTGGCTTATGGTGAGGTTGCTGGTCTATATATTACTAAAGAAAACATATATACTTATACTACTTTTCCTTGTGAACTTTGCTTTTTCCCCTACTCTTATTTAAACAATACTTTCTAGGACTATGATTATGTGGTGGAATTTGAAAAAGGAAATAGGTGATGTTATTGGACCCATTCGCATCAACAATCTTGATGTTATTGCTGTACCTTTCTCCAAACCAGAGGCTGAATTTGATCTTCATATAGGTGATTGGTCTTATGATGACTACAAGGTGCCTAACATGAATTATTAGTTACAAATTTCTGCTCCCTTGCAAAATTAGTACTTGGCCAATTGGTAAGCAATGCTATTTCTGTGATTTCCACAGACAAGTAGGTCTGTTGGGGACCAAAGATATGGCACATTATGCAATTCCTGATATCATTCTGATGAATGGCAAATGTCCTAATGGACATTCCTTGTCGAAGGCCTTTGAGTCCTTCACTGTCTCACAAGGTTTGTACCTTGAAATATGGATTGAAATTTTCTCTTGGTATGATTCAAACTGAAGAGTTTCATTTGTTACCTTGATCACATAATTATCCGTGTTTGATGAAAGTGGTGGAAGCATTATCCTAATGCTAAAACAAATTTTGAAAACAACACTAGCATCAAAATTGAAAGGCCTGTGTTTCCTTATGAGAAATTTTGCTTGTGATCCTGTTACTGAAGATGCAGGGATCCATATATGCTTGGATAAAAGTGATATCATTGTTTATATTATCCTATAATCAAAATAGGTTCTTGTTAACTTTAAGCAGAAGTGTATTATGCTATCATGGTTATGCAGGAAAGACCTACCGGTTTAGAATATCAAATGTGGGGAATGCTTTGAGTTTCAATTTCAGGATTCAGAACCATCAGATGGTATTAGTTGAGATAGAGGGGTCTTACACCACTCAGATCACATTGGATTCTCTTGATGTGCATATTGGCGAGTCCTACTCTGTTCTTGTTACAATGAATCAAAATGAAGCTGATTATTACATTGTGGCGGCTCCTAAATTCACTAGCACAAATGATTCTAGATCCCTTTTTGGTCTCGGAGTGCTACACTATTCCATCTCCACAAATTAAACCGGACCTCTACCAAGTGGACCGGACCCTTTTGATGTATAGTTTTCACTGAATCAAGCTAAATCCATTAGGTAAATGAAAGTTTCTTTCTAATCTTTTCCTGAAAAGGGTTCTCCTTGAAATTAATGGAAAATGATCACTATTTTGTTGCTTCTTACAAAGGCTTGAGGAGCTTAATTTTGTTGCTTCAAATCTTATCCATGATTACTATTTACTGAGCAGGTGGAATTTGACCATTGGAGCTGCAAGGCCTAATCCGCAATGAACCTTCAATGTTAGGAATGTGAGTCTATCACAAACATGACAAATTAATTCTTTTAATCTTGATATGCTGGGGCATGGAGACATTTCTTACACTAAGGCTTAAATTTCTTTGGTGATTTCTTACACTTATTGACAAATTAAATCCCCTTTTGTGTGGTTAGTTTTGTTTACATATAATATTATACATCCAACTAGGAAATAGATAAATGGTTGCGCTTTTTTTTTTCTATAATTCTGACAACTTATTTCTTGTTTGTGAACTGCAGGTATTTTTGACAATTCAAGTGCTCCAGCTCCAGCTAATGGAAGGACATGAGAACCTGTTGCAACTTGGTTAAGAAATAATAAATTGGATCTTGGCAAGCTTTAAACCCTAATGATAAAGCTTCCTTCTATCAAAGTTACATAGAACAATTTGAGCTTATCCAAGGGACATTTCATTTTATGATGAGAATAGTTTAAACACAATAATAAGAAACTTTTTTATGATTAATTGTTATGTCATTGGATAAGATACCGTGACTAGGCAACAAAATATAGAGTTGACAAGGTGAGCACTTCATTACTTGCACGTTGGGATGTTACTTCTACTTGCCTGCACGTTGGGGGTGTTATGATAGAACCTTTTTAGTATTTAGTAATTTGGACGGGGGTGAAGGTTTGAACCTCAATTCTAATGAACTTTCAGCCTTATAGTAACAGGCTCTTGGTGTAATCTATCAAAGATATATATATATATATATATATATATATATATATATATATTTGTCATGTCACTTAGCGGTTCTGTCACTTAAAACTATGACATTTTGGATATTTATTTTTCTTATTTAATTGATCAAAAATTGATATTATATTTCTATCTCTTCCTTTATCATCATTGATCCACTTTTATATGGTTATGATTCTCCGACCGGACAAATTCTTATGTTAAGTGACTTGACATCCGATTAATCATATATATGGGAAAATTGTGTATAATGTCACTGTATATAAGATTTGGTACGGTTAAAAAATTATAACTATATATTACGGGTAGTACATAGTTATAATAGTAAAGTTATTTTTTTTTCTCTCCTACGTCACCCGACAAGTCTCTGAAAAGTTAATAAGGAGAGAAAAAAATATCTTTAATATCATAACTATATACTCCCCTAAACCGTGGTACATAGTTATATTTCTAAAAAAAAATACTTTAATATTATAACTATATACTATTTATAGTACATAGTTATAATTTTTTGAGCGCACCAACTTTTACATGCAGCTAGTGTACATCTGCTTTACCCATATTGATAACATAAACAGATATATATATTAACTGAAAAAAGATTGTCACATGAATATGTTATGTATTTTCGTAGATTCAATTATTGTATAGTTTTTAAAATCCATTTGCAAAGATCTAATATGAGAATGACCTAAACGAATATTCTAAAATTTTAAAAATCTTGATCAAAAAGAAAGGAAAAGGAAATCTGATAAGGATCAAATTCACACCACCAAAAAAATACAAAAAAAAGTGGTTGATGTCATACGAGTTATGTCAGTTCACTGGCTGTTACCAAGAATTATTTGCTATTATAAATTCCAAGTAGGGATTGCGGAAGTAAGTTTCATAAACCTCCTCGGATGTCTTTGTTTGCGCACTTGTTTGCATAATTTAAATTAGAAAAGTGTTAAATGTAAATCATAGCCAACCTTAAAATACCCTAATTTTGCATAATTGTTTCGGGATGGCAGAATTTGAAAACAAAGAATGTGGACTGAACTCTTTTTTTATTTCTGTTCATTTAATTAAAACCTCAGCATCCAGATCTGAAAACAAAGAAAAAAAAAATCCCAAAACAACATTGGTTGAGAGTGGCGGGACAGCAGCAAAACTAATGAAGCAAAAAGATGGTAAAGGGTAGAGGAGAGAAGGAGAACAAAAATAAGACCAACTACCAAAGAGAGACCAGGGGTATTTTGGTCTAAAAATATTTAAAAAATTATCCCATTAATTGAGAATCTAAGAATATCATACATGGGGTGGTATTCTTAGATGGTATTTTTAATTATGTTTTCCATGTAAATGAAAATTATGAAAAAATCACATTTCCAAAATTTATTTTAGAAAAAAACATATCAAACCCTGGAATTTCAAATAAAATCTTCTACCAAACGCCTAATATAGGATGTTTGGTACAGGGTAATATTTTTTTTTGGAAACTGATCTTAATTACCTCTTTGAAACTGATCCTAATTACCTCTTTGAGGCGAATCAGAACCCCCAGGTATCCCACAAGTTCGACTCTTTGAGCCGCCTATGAGACTAATTCAAAGTTCGGGTGCGAGTTCAAGGATTACGATACTTATGCCCCTCCCCATATGGTGTTGGTGGGATTCGAACCGACTCCCACCACTTAGTCCTTATGCTACCAACTGAGCCACCATACTTGAGTGTATAGGATAATATTTGAATACCCGGAAATGGGATAGTGGGAAACATTTATTCCCAATTTCCCATATTTGGTACAAGAAAAACATAAATTGGACCCAGGAATATTTTGTACCCAACTATTCATTTAACACTACCGAAATAAGATTCAAAATACTTTATTGGACATGGTAATTTATTTTTCATGTGTAGCTGGAATCCATTGACATATTTTGCAGACAAAATGACCCTTTGTGAATGGGGATATAAATGGGCTAAACCGGCCTACAGGGATTTATGGTCTAGCCTATATTAGGTCAGACTTGACCTATTATAAATAGTAAAATAAAACAGGCCTAGGTTTTTAAATAAATCAAGAGTAAATACCCTTTTGAGTCCCTAACAAATAATATGGTTCTCACTTTGGTCCTTTACACACAAAGAAGTACTCGTTTGGTCCCTAAGAA